AATCATTTAATTATATAATTGTTAATATAAATATTTTAAAGGTTATTATTCTCTTCCTCTAGCTGGTTGTTTGTTTGTTTTCTTTTTCTTTTCTTTTCTTTTTTTTACTTTTACTTTTACTTTTGGGTTTGTCGCGAACTCAGGCACGGGGTTTGTCTTGGAACCCAACTCTTAGATTCGTCTTGAAACCTAGGCACAAGGTTCGTCGTTAACCCAACGCTGGTTTTGTCTTGGAACCCGAGCGCAGGGTTTACCGCAAACCCAGTTCTTGGGTTGGTCTCCGAACTAAAGATGAAGGATTTTTGGTTTAGGGAGAAAGAAGACGGGGAAGAATATGATAAGGATTTTCGGTTTGCTTCTCTAATTGGATGAGGAATAAGATGGTTAACAAGACGGGGAAGAAACAAATGTGCTTGAACTACTTGGTAATGATGGGTGATGTTATAAATTGGAACCTGTATATAGTGGTTTTTTTTTTTAAATAAAAGGATGTGTGAGGATAAATAGAGAGAATGAGTAAATTTCATTAAAATGAGAAGTAAAAGTTCCCGTAAAAGCACGTTCTAAAAATTGCATTAGAATGGAAAAAGATCAACTTGTGAGAAGGACTTGTATTTTTTACAAGCTGTAGTGTTTGGTGTAGTTGAAGTTTTTAAACCCGAAAAACACTTCCCACCAACTGTACCAAATATGCACTTACTCTCTTGATTATCGGCCGTTAATCGTAAGAACTAATTAAATACTTAAATCTCGTTGTGGTCATTGTTATACTTTCGTCCACAACCACTCCTATAACAAATTCCTAAATATAGTAATAAATATGTAGATTAATGTTCATTAGTTAAGATTTTAAAAAATAGACAGAAAAATATTTAAAATAATGTGGTTTTAATAAAATATTATAAAAAATTTAAATAGTATCAATTTTAGGCTACTAATATATTAAATTTTAAATTTTTTATGATAAACATAGATCTTAGTCCAAAAATAAGACATCCAAACCATCTTTACGAATTCTGAAACGTGTGCCTAAAATATAGCCTTTTTTGGTCACTTCATAATCTTTTTAAAGAGGCTCCATAATGATATGACTATATACATATATATATTGATAATCATATAACCATTCATATAATACGATGTCCTTCTGGTACGAGGGTCCTCTATATTATTGAGATTTTACAAAGTTTTCTCAAATGCTTAATTTGGATCACATAATAAGTGCTACATAGAGACACAGTGGCATCCATGTCTGGAAGTTTTGGTATGCTACAATCTACATGATCCACAAACATCCATAACAATATAACTATTTATATAATAAGATATTCTTCTAGTACCAGGGTCCTCATATTATTGATATATTACAAAGTGTCCTAAAATACTTAATTTGGACCACACAACATAATAGGTGCTACATAGAGAGAGTGGCATCCCTGTGGAATCTACGTGAACCACAAATTCACCTAATGCATCATCTCCAACTACAGTATTTCCAAGCTGTATCATATATAAAAACCCAGGCTTGAGTAAGAGGGAGGAAGAGGATCCACTTCTATAAGGATCTAGTTTTCTTTGCCAGTTTTATTCTCATCGCCTTTCAAGAACTTTGAGAACCAATATGCAGAAGATTTTGGATGCCGGGTGAGACCATTCTTGTAATCCACGAAAACAATACCAAAGCGCTTGGTATAGCCTTGAGCCCACTCAAAGTTGTCCAATAGCGACCAAGCAAAGTAACCCCTGACATCTACTCCATCCCTGTCCATGCAAATGATAAACACAATTACCTATTTTGTTTTCCCACTAAGTGTTGCCTTTAATTGTTGATATGGTCACCCTTTATTTCATTTGCTGTTTTTATGTCTAATCTAACTAGTCATCATTGGCAAACCAAATGAGAAGGCATTAGCAATAGTAAATCATCCAGTAAAAACCAACATAGCACAGCTTACTTGGCATGAGATCAAGAATGCTCAAATACGATTATGATGTGATTTAACATTGTTTTTAAAGTAAATATGAGTAAATAACACCCTCGTATCTAATAAGAAGATCAAGAGGGGGCTGGCTTACTTGATAGCCT